GCGAGAATGAGGAAGGGCTTGCCTAGTCTTTTTGTTGTCCCTGGCGGCATTTCCAGCCAGCTCGAGCACTTCGGCCGCCAGATATTCCATGACGGCGGCGAGATAGACCGGCGCACCGGCGCCGACGCGTTCCGCGTAGTTGCCTTTCCTGAGGAGACGGTGGATCCTCCCCACGGGGAACTGCAGCCCGGCCCTGCTGCTGCGGGTCTTCGCCTTTCCCTTGGTTTTACCTGGAAAAGGGACACACGTCGAGGAATGTCGTCGCCGTCGCCCGGCGTGGCGCGACGCGGCGCGAGACTCTCCTCCCTTTTCCGGCTTCCCTTTTTGTCGCTTTTCGTCTTTACTTACCGCCTTTGCCGCGTCCAGACATGTCTCGCCGTTAAGTCAAGTCGAGCGCGTTTCCTATTTCCTTGCACGACTGCACGAGGGAGGAACGGGGAGGGAGCGCGAGATAGATAGAATGATCAGAATAATGCACGGGACCGCACGCCGACACGTAGACACCGAGCGCTGAAAGCCGAATGAAGCGGCGCGGCCCGCGCAACCGTGACGCTCGTGCGCATGCACGTCGGATATTTTGGCGCTCATTTGCGCGGGAACGGCCGCGCCGATGGCGCCGCCGCCGCCGCGCCGGCCGCTCGCGCGACGCGACACACGACACGTCCCACGTCCCGCCCGAAAGTCCCTGCCTCGCCTACCTAATTGGTTATCTCGCATCACTAGACACATACGAGAAGTCGAGAAATGACGAATGACGAGAATTCGGCGCGAGTCTGAACTCCGGACAGATATATTCGCATGAACGCTTCGCGAAACATCCCCCTCGGCGCACTAAAGGCGATCGAACTACGATTAATATATCAAGTAACGCCTATATTTTACTAACATTTTATTTAAATTACCAATTTTTTTATCATCAGAGAACGACTTTGACTCAAACTTCGATTTTAATTCAATCACAGCATAAATTTAAAGTAAAATTTCTAGCTATACAGGATGATGCAGAAATACTTGTATGTACAATACATAAATTTTTGAAACTGAATTCTCCACACATAAACAAGAAAAAAATTTCATGTATACATATGTCCGGAAATGCCTTACATGAGTTATAAATCGAAAGCGTCCAGTCTATCTTTATTGCTCATTACATGTTGAAAAAAGATGGAGTGATGCTTTCAGCACGAAAGCACCCAAAGCGAACGCAGCCTAAGATTACATTCGACAAAAACTGACAGAATACATCTACAATATAGACGATTTTTGGCGTGATTCTGGATATAGGCTGCATTCCGATATTCACTCTGTCAGTACTGCAAATCTATATCTTATACGTTACGTATATACGTAAACTATAGATTTTCAGTACTGAAAGTTGCTGACAGTGAATGCAGCCATAATTGCAACGTACCAAAGTAAAAAATGTATCAAATTGCACCAGCACCCATAGCAACTACCGATAGCAACTTTGGTATATGTACCAATTAAACCATGCCAAACAATCACCAAAAATCGCCTAATAAACACATGATTACCCAGACAACACGTATGTCTCAAATCAGGACATATATGACGTTTTAGAGACGTCGATTTGAGATATGCATGCGTGTTATCTGGGTAATGTAATCTTCAGTTCGATTGTTTATCTACTTATAATTCACAACAAATGCTCAAAATGTCTTCCACCTGCTTCAATGCACGTATATGAACACGTCGGATCACGGACTGTCGCATCTTTTCAAAGATCCCATAACGGTTGCTGATGGTTTCGCAGGCATCTATGATGCGTTGCCTGCGTTGGTAAACCATCTCTTTATTTGTAATTCCAGCATAAACTAGGACTTTTAAGTGTCTCCACAGACGAAAATCTAATGGATTTAGGTCAGGCAAATGTGCAGACCTGAAATGTAAATCTTTCGATTATAACTCCATAAACCAGGCATTTCTGGACATATGTGTATATGATATTTTTTTCTTGTTTATGTGTGAAGAATTCACTTCCAAAGTTTGTACAAGTATTTCTGAATCATCCTGTATAAGTGGTAATCTCTAATCTTTTTTCTACACGTGAAACGACAAAAGAGTGATTCCAGACAACACGCATATGTCTCAAATCGAGAGATATGACAACTTAAAGACGTCATTAAGACGTCTTAATGACCTCTTCAAGACGTCTTATCTCCCGATTTGAGACATTATGTTCACTGAGATAATTTTCTTCCTGTTGACAAGGTAATTATTAGGTATTACTTGACCAGTTAATTGCCAGTTAACTTATCTTACTTGTGACAACGTTTCTACCTATATAATTCTTTCCATGTACCAAACAAGGAATCAATAATTTTAGCCATGTTAATAGAATGATACAAATATTACTGAGCAAATGTAATCGCTGGTCGAGTTAATCGGAGTTTGATCGAAGTCGCTCCAACACGTGAGAAGAAAAAATTAGATTATGGACGACGAATTGTACAATTTTACCGATTGAATTAGTCGCCAATTAATTTAATTCAAGTTTGGTCAAAGTCGCTCGTTTTTTTTTTTAATAGACATCTTATCGCTTACGTAAGGATAATTTGTACATTTCTTACTCGAGTGCTCTACTGCTTTACTACTACGTTTACGCGAGCGTTACTTCTGTAGTAACTTACGATAATTCACTCGTTTACGCGGAGTGAATTATCGTAAGTTACTACAAAATCCTGTTTACGCGAAGGAATTATCGTAAGTTACTACAGTAACGCTCGCGTAAACGTAGTATATGTAGAGTATAACAAGAACGAGGAAAGGATATTTTAGAGTAGAGAAAACATTTTTGATTCTCCGACGAGCTTGAAATAAAGGAGATCAAATATACATTTTCAGATGTGTATAAACGTCAATTATTGCGAAATCTGATTTAATCTTGTCCTTGATTGGACACAATCGTAGATTATACATTTAGACAATTGAGTCGATATAGAATCGAATTAAAAAAATATATATGTGTACAGTTGTCTACAGCGCATAGCATCGAGCCCCTAGCTAAACTAAGATTTATGCAAGACTAGTTAAGAGTCTACAACAGTCCCAGTTTGTATATTTATCTATCCAATTGTCTTATCTTATTTTTTTAAAAAAAAGATCACGCATGAAACAGCCATTTCCAGAGAAATCTGTCTTTGACTGTCACGAAGTTAGAGACGACGTTAACGCAAGTAATATAAATTCGTTCCGACGAATTTATATTATTCAAATCTGTGTGACACAAGGTAACTATTTTAATAGAGTATGACTGTTATAATGCAATCTATCATAATAGTTTAGCTTATGCAGTTAATTCCCGGTTTTAAACTGCTACTATCGTTTGCATCTTGCAAATCTCGGAACTTGTAAAACTTATTTGCATTGTCGTGATTATTGGCGTTGCGCTTACGCTAGTGGCTTAACAATAACCGTTAACATATTTCGTTTTTTGTCGAAAGTTAGAACCTCCAATCCCATGGCACACAAAGAACGCCGTCGCTCATGACGGAGTAATAATGAGTAACCCAGAGCATGACGCCCTCGAGCGATGGTGCCAGATCCTTTTTGTGCAGAAGTAGTCGTTCGCAGCACTGTATCATTAGATCCGGAGTAATGCTGTCGTCTTTGTTAAGAGCAGCTAAACCTAATTCTGCGATGGTCTTACGATGAAGTTCTCGCTCCACATGCTTTATGCTACAAATAATAAGGGCACAAATAGTAATAAAGTTCTATATTGATCTAAGTTCAATCAGAAATCTGAGATGTCTTACTTATTATAGTGATATAGCCTTTTCATAGCCTCCTCTAAGTTCTCCGTAATAAAATTTACCAAGAGAAAGCTTGGGCACGACGATGGCACGATGAATTGTCCGGTCGGTGATAACATCAAAGGACCTGCCTCGCTTTAAGATATCATAAAACGCGTTGATCTACTTGCACAAGATTTAAAATCATCCACAAGCAGCAATATTTATACTAACGCTTCGATGACAATTTCGTAAGTTGATAGACTAGCCGGCCAAGAACTCGGATACTTTCTTTTGCCACGATAATCAGAGAGCGTAGTCGTGAGTTGTCGTAGCTGTTGCTCATACTGGCCGACCATTACCTTAGGCATGAATTTCCTGCACATATAGAGCACCCTGAGCCTTACCATAACTCAAATAATATGATGTATTACGCACCGTCGACCAACTTTAATGTCGAGAAGTACTTGGGACACTGCTTTTTCAAACGCCGGCAATTTCAACAACACGACATCATGCTTTCTTACATTCTTTATTAGCTGTAAAAGACGAAGGAGTTTAATATATGGGAGGTATCGATAGAGATAAGCTATTTTCAACTCACGTCGAGCCAATTGTGCCTGACTTCCCCAGAATTCAGCATAACATTGCCTTCTAAACTGATACCAGTGTCGTTTGCGAACACGAGAGTGCGATTTCTCAATACCTCCATCGATTCCGGATGATGCTCGGCTAACGCTTGAAAGGCTAATAAACAACCACGATAATGGGCGATATTCCAACCACAGTCCCATATGATATCCTTCAGACCCAACTCGCTGCACAGTACTTTCTCCAATTTCTCCACCTCCTCTCTTACTGGTCTACATGCCTCCAGTTTAACATGTACTTCATTGATGTGTTTGTCCAGATATGCCCTAATCAAAAACATATATAAGAATATACTGAATATAATAGTAATACTTTTGATAGCAATATTTTAAGCATATCCCAATGTTATATTTACTTCAGCGTATCTGGCTCTGCATTAATCTTGCGTTTCATAATAATCGAAGCATAAATAGGATCGTCTTCCAATTCCGAAAAGTCCATCTTTTCTCCAGAATATGCGCGTTGCCAAAATCTGGATTTGTGCTTTGTGACAGGAGGCTTCTGCTCCTCGATTTTGTCAACAAACGTCGTAGGTAGATCGCATGTTTTTAAAATGGAAAGTATCGCTTGTCTCAGATCCTTTTCTTTCAATTGTATTTTAACAAGCGTAAATTTACCAGCCTTTACATCTTTCTCATCTTTCGATCGTAGGTAAAAGGGCAAAGTCGTCGGCCGTATAGGTTGCTTCTGTTGCAGGGTTTCTAAGATTGAACTTAATTGCTTCAGAGAGTTTTCATTCACTGTCTGTAAATAATAAATTATAGTCAATCATTTAAACAAATACAAATAATACTTTTAACATATTGTTTGCATTAACATATGTAATTAAGGATGGAGATAAGAAAATAATAGTAATAATATATCTGTAGTATGATAGTAAAGTTCGTGAACTCTTGTAACTCACGGTATAATTGCTATATAAAAAAGTCATATCGGATTTGACCTCGTGTGACTTTTTTATTCCCAAAAATAAAGGAAACATTGAAAGGAACGCACTTTGATGACATTAATGACATTAAGAGTAACACAACGGTAGCTCTGGAGGCCATTTCATAACAACAGTTCTAAAACTCCTTTGAAGGGTGGACAAGGCATCGGTGTATAGCTTTCTAAGAGGACTACTTTGAAGAGAATCACAGTGGTAATCGGCAATAAGGTATGTAGCAATTGTACCGTGACGAGTTCGCGAAATTTATTGTAATATTTGGCCAAACTGTTTCCCATGAATCGTATTCATGAGAAAATGCGGTACAAACATCCAAATATTATCTGACATTGTTCGAATATGATAACGGATTGATCACAATCGAATACTGAAGGATAACGATAAGACGTACTAATTTGATTTTCAACTACAAGCATTCAGATTCTGGTTTTGCTAGGGATAGACTTTGATCAAGTCCTTTTATCTTCTTCGATAAACAATTTTCATTAACAATTGACTTAAGTAATTATCTTGGGGAAACAGAGTGTATAGTATAAAAATATTTCTATTGATATCCATGCTATTTGAAAACGCTACAACTCGATAAGAAACTGTTTACGAATCTGCATTCACATGATGTTCTTTCGTCAATCCTAATAGAATATGTTAATAAAAGTTAGCTAAGCACTTCAAAAATATTTTGTGTAAAGAGATAAAAAGCTACCTAAAAAAAGAATTATTAACTCTTAAAAATTAATAACTCTTATAGTTTTAAAAATATCCGCGGTTTTTTACAGAACTCTCCGAGTTCTGATTTAAATTTCTTCTCGCATTTGATAAAAAAAAATTCTCGCGGTTAATGGTTTGTCAGAATTAAATTGTCACACTATTGTTACACTCAAAAATATTTACATGTGAGCTATAAGCCGTAATCAACATATTAATTAATCAGACGCGCGCAGGGCCGAGTTTATCGCGTTTAATTGCCCAATTTCCGAAATAGCGTCGATATACGGAATAAAATACGATTTTAATTTAATTTACACAGAAAGATTAGAGCTGTTGTACAATATAGTCTGCATTTTATGAATATAAAAATGTTCTCAATCCAATCTGCCATAAGCAAACATCGCGATGATAAACACATCGAGACTCAAGAAAATAGGCTTCGCCAGAAAAAACAAATGTTCCGCTCCGCTACTTTTAATTGCAGTTCTCCACCAATTGTTCTATATCCTTTCTCGAACAGGTGGATCGTGGATCTGACAATGAGATACTGAACGTTACTACGTTTTCGTGACGTATATGTTCGTTTTGCGATCTCTCGATGCGGCCCTGCTCGCGCGCAAACAATTATCGCTTGATAAACGACACAAACATCTGACTGCGTGGCGGCAGGAAATTTATTCCGATTCGAGCAACCTTGCAGTCCTTGCACACAGCACACGCACGTGCGCGTGTCCAAAGATCGCCGCACTATTCCGTTATGGACGGGACAGCGCGCGTTTTCACGCATCTAAAAATAATGCCATTCACCGCATTCGCTCGCGCGCTCGCTATCACGCCACGATGACGATGCTTACCGGAGTACCGATCGCTTTGTGCGGCGCGACGCTTTGACAACGGCCACGCGTGCATCTTGCATGTCTCGTGCCCTTGAAGAGATATGGATGGTCGACGTAACTCGCGGTAAAAGAGAACGCAAAGCAAATAAAAATGTAATAAACATCGGGCGCAAACGCCATGCCATTCTTTTCCTTTTAGTTATATTTCTGGCAGACGTTATCTTTACTCCCTTCCTCTCTCCAAGGTGTGTGGATGCAGGACAAAAGCTTTCTAAATGTTCGGGAAAGTGTACGATAGCTCGATTGTCTCTGGCCGTCTCTTATCTTATAGATTTTACATTTAAAAAATATACATATATAAATGCACGTTCGCAGACTCCGATAGAAAGAGAAAGACTGTATGGAATGAAAGTGAATGAACTCATTGTCAGACAGCGTCACGCGTCCACACACAAAATGGGGACGTAAGACGTCTTGAAAACATTTTTTAGGCGTCTTACGAAATGATGACTAAAAGACGTCTTACGTCCCAATTTTGGACATGCGTGCTGTCTGAGAAGCAAATAGAATCTCGTATCTGCATATTGTTTTTGTTTAGCATCTTAATGCCTTAAGCTGCTAAGGGCCATTGCACGTAACAAAATTTTAGTCATAATCGTAAGGCCGTAAGAAAATAGACCAATCACAGTCGATTATTCTCCTTGAGCTCGAAGAATAATCGAGTGTGATATTGGTCTATTTTCTTACGGCCTTACGATTATGCCTAAAACTTTGTTACGTGCAATGGCCTTAATACTCTGTGATTGGTTTATGACATCTTAAGATTGTACATACTTAAGATGATCTTAAATATAAGAACCGACTATGAATACCGGCCTACTGCGATGATATCGCGATCTATCCCGATCGTTTCACACAACACTCATTACTCGTTCTAAAATCTAAAGTAGGGACGTGTGCTTATTTGGATTCGGGCCGATCCTTACTCTTTGCGTGGGATACTGGCCGAACAGGTCGGGATGAACGGTGAAGTAAAACGGCCGCAGCGCGGTGGACACCTCGCCGGTGCTCAGGGCCCTCACCGCGTCCCTCCTGCAAAAGCTGTCGGAAAGAGCTGTCAGTATAACGTCAGTTTCCCGGACGGGCTGCCGACGTTTACCACGGTGAGAGGTAAACGCCAGAATTCGTGGAGTAAACTCCAATTATTGGGTTTCCCTTACCATCTCCCGAGCGTCGTGCAGTACATCATTCACTCGCTTGCACCCTCCCTCGTCGTTGTCGTCGTCCACGCCGCCGTCGTCCACGTCGCCGTCGCCGTCGCCGTCGCCCCGGCAGTTATATCGTCGTCGGTGTGTGCGGCTCTCATGTCACGAGGCTGATCACGCAGCGGACGTGAGACTCGTCACGTCACGGATCCTCTCACCCTTTTACCGTTCTTTCACTCTCGCCCGAGGGATGCGCTGCTTCCCCTTTCCTCTCACTCCTCTCGCTTGATGCTTTCACACGGGTAGATACCTCGCGTTGCTCCGAGAATTTTTTTTTTTTTCTAAACGGCGGAACCCGTCGACGTCAACGGGTGGACGAGCGGGTCGGCGAAGACACATTTATAGCACGCACGAGTACGCACCAACACGCACTGACTGCTGCTGACTGCGACGCGCCGACCACGACCGCCGATAATATACAAAAATAATGGGCGCTGCACGACGCCCCCGATGATAAACTCCGGAGTTGCTCCGGACGGAATTACACGTTCAGTCCGGCCGTTCGGCCTGTGAAATTGTCGATAAGTTAGCCTGAGAATAATAAAGACTTATTTTTATATTATTATTTGAATTATTACTCCCTTAGCCTCGACGTACTCCCAATCGTGAAAAGATGGTTTATTAATTAAGCTACAATAACAAAAATTAAATCAGCGAAATCAAATGCGGATGGTTTCCATATGTATATAAAAAAAGACCATAAAGTAAATGTTTTAAAATTTAAATTTTAAATCTGAATATATATATTTTTATGTTTTACGTTATTCCACTAGCTTGATTGTAGAAGTAGGTAGACGATGAAACCAGAGAGTTGGACGCGCGCACATTTACGCGTAAAATATATATAATAATAATTTACATCCGTGTTATCTGTTATGTAATCCATGGATTATCAAACATTCACATTTCGTCAAAAATATCAAAAATTTATATTTTGTTTGCAATTTTATTTTCAGTTATTGTGTAGTTTGGGCACAGTTTTTAGCACGTCATGAAGAATTAACAAATCAGATCAGCGCAAATAAATAATATTTCTATATTAGTGTTATGTATATCTTTTATGTCACTGTACATTATATATAAATAAATTATAAGTGAAATGCATCTAATATTTAACCTATACTCTAAAACTGTTTAATATTTTTTTTAAACTGTGAAAATATTATTTTAAAAAATCAGTTAATTAATTAGTTCATTTATAATTTATAATAATTTACATTGTTTATTATATATTGTCTACATGAAAAAGGTACGCGTAAACATAATATAAACAATACCAACGAATATAGACAGCACGCGTGTCTTATAAGACATCTTTAAAATATCTTTACAACGTCTTTTAGACAAGCGCGTGTTGTCTATCCTTCTATACCTGTAAATATAATTGTACATACATACTCGATGTAATAATCTTGAAATTTACTTTTATGTGGCAATAGCAACAAGAATAAAAGTAATTAATAGTAATAATTGGTATAATTTAATTTTTAATTGTAATGTGTGACTTAATTAATAGTTATATAATTGATAAAACTTTTATATCAAAATGGTGAAGGACTCTTATCGCTTATCGGTGAAGGAAGAGATCTAATCGGAGGCCGATTCTATAAAATAGAATGATACACTACTACTCCCCTGCTCTTCCATGTTCGCCGATTGATATCATTCAATGTCCGCGGGTTATCATACAATATACAATATGCGGGATTACACATTACGTCAGCAGAATTCAGTAGAATCAAACGGGGAATCACTATAATTCGGGGAGTGCGGGGAATAGAGAATGATAAGAAATATAATACATTATCTCGCGCTGCCCACTCCGTGATTATCAGTGACACAGTAATTATCGCCTCTCTCGACGGATTATCAATTTTATCGTCGAGGATTTGCCGAGCGTGCCGCCGCTACGGCAGAGCTGCCCGTGGCCTCACTCGCAAGGTAAAGCTCGTCTACCGACACACGTTACCAACATAGACTGTCATAGACTGACAGCTGTCCCAGCTAGACAGCGTGTGAGCACCGTCCCAAGCACCTTCGTCAGGATCTTCCGCCTCCTTCTTCCTTGGCTCGTCCTTCGGGCGGACCGCCGCGGCGATCGCACGTGGCTCGATCAACGGACGACGGGACGGACCTCGACTCGAGTTTAGTCTCCGCGTGAAGGGGCACCGAGGGGTACCGTGCCACCGTGTCGCTTCCCGTTTGTCATAATGGTAAGTAACCTGCGCTGCGCGCCCGCGGTATCTCGTCGACGTCCGTCCCGCGGAAACCTAACCCGCGGGCGGACTCGGACTCGTCGCCGACTTAAAGAGCCAGTCGCTCGAACATCCGCTTGAAGAAGAAAAAGAAAAAAAAAACGTCTACTTTCAGCGCGGCTCGCGCGCCGCCGTCGCCGTCGTCGTCGATCGCCGTTGAGATTACTCTCTTCCGCCTGTGGCAACGTAGCCCCGGTCCGTCGTATCCACGTGTGATGTAAATAATTGCCATGACTCATACGGGTCGTACGAGCGACACGGGACACGACGCTTCCATATGACTTGCGATCACGAGGACCCTCCGGATCGCGGATATGATCGCGACGCCCGTAAGTAAAAACGCCTCCGCGCATCGCACCACCACGCCGCGACCGGGGGATATACGCTATACCTGTGTTTTTAACGGCCGTTGCAATTTCACAGAAGGAACGATACTTGGACGACACGTTTAGGAATCCATGTGTAACAAATATGTACTGACGTGCGCCGCAACGTGTGGAAACCCCGTTAGTATCCGTTCGCTCTGTTCTCCGCGGCTCCGCGTACCTCGTGCACCCGCTCTCCCGTTTGCAGCAATATTCTTTATGTTGCAGTTAAGGTGACACTTGGTTTTGTCATGCGGAATAGATCAGTCAGTATCATCTTTGGGTCCCTTATCTTATGGGCTGTGGCTACATACTTTTTATTTTTGGATCAACAATCAGTCGGCAAGGATCAGGATAAGGTGAGAAGATCCTTATAATAAGTTACGATCCGTCGTGCGAAAATTTAAGACCATAACTGTAATTGTACCCTTGTTTTTAGGACAAGGACAAGCTATCAAATCAAATAAGCAGGTTGGAGAAGCAAGTAAAACAACAGATAATCATAAACCAGGAGCTTCTGGAAGGAATCAAGGAGAGCAAACGTCTTAAGAGTAAGATCAGTTGAAATGAGTTTATGTGGTGTCGCACATTTGAGAGAACAGATAAATCAAGTGTAATATATAATTTGTCGTTTTAGAAGAATACGATAGATTAAGCGCTGCCCAATTGCCAATAGATGATACAGAGAAAGATAAACACAAAAAACATGAGACTAATAAGAAGAGTATATTATTGCAAAAAATCGAAAACAATAATAAGTGGAAGGGGTCTCAAAATGAACAGGGGCCGACACAGGATACTATCCTATCTGTAATATATTAATCCATATAACAATTATATTTGATCATCTTATTAACTTCAATGATTTGTTAAATATATAATTTATAAATATAATCTTTATTTAACTTTTATTTAACTTATAGTCTCAACAATATCTCGCGTTTTCAATTTTGTCTATGTTCCAATCTCTCGGTAGACTGAGGCAACACACAGTACTCCTTCGAGGCAAAAGCTTCCCGATGGATCTCCAATAATCGCTATTTTGGTCGTTTCTTGTAATCGTATTACAGTAGAGCGGTGTTTAAACCAATTAATTAAGTTAAGACCTAGTAAAGAACAGTTTCCAATAATTGTATCGCAAGACTGTGATCATCGACAAACTGCTGATGTCATAGCGAGATATGGAAACCAGCTGCTACATATAAAGGTAATTTGAGTGTATTGTTATTGATCGTTATCTGTATGAATTCTTGACTCTTTCAATTTCTTTTAATGAGATTACGCAATAACTTGTATTCTTATGATGGAATTAATACAATCTTTATCATTTCAGCAACCTGATCAATCCGATATTGAAATACCACCTAAAGAGAAAAAATTCAGAGGATACTTCAAAATCGCACGCCATTATAAATGGGCATTGAATCAAGTATTTCTAAAGCTTGGTTATAATACAGCAATTATAGTTGAAGGTACGATTAGTGCGGCCAAATCTTTATAAGCACAAGCATTACATAACAAATGCGACACATCTCTACGGGATGTAAAATTTGGTTAAAATTTCTTATGATTTTTACGTAGACGACTTGGACGTCGCACCAGACTTTTATGAGTACTTCCTGGGGACTTACCCCCTATTAGTGAACGATAGCTCTCTATGGTGTGTATCAGCGTGGAATGATAATGGTAAAGCTGGCTTGGTGGACGAACACGCGCCACATTTACTTTATAGGACAGATTTCTTTCCTGGCTTAGGTTGGATGCTCACGCGCGACTTATGGTTGGAGCTTGCACCAAAATGGCCCAAATCGTAAGTGTGACTTTATATTTCACTGTAGTTATATTTTATATTATTGGTCTGTAATATATCTGTGTTTTTAACAACACATCTGCTCTTGTAGATATTGGGACGATTGGATAAGACAACCGGAACAGCGCAAGAATAGAGCTTGCATCCGCCCGGAAATCTCGCGAACCAGAACATTCGGCAAACTTGGAGTCAGCAAGTACTTATCCGTATTTTTTATTTGCATATTATTTAAGATTTAAAGATACTGCAGACAGATGTTGTAACTCGAGACTAATCAAATAGTTTGAGTAAATTTAATCAGCACTAAAATTTGTTTTGTTATTTCTAGCGGCTTATTCTTTGAAAAACACTTGAAGTACATCAAGCTGAATGAACAATTTGTGCCTTTCACCAAAATGAATCTATCCTATTTACTAAAAGTAAGGGAGCAAATGTCAGACGTAATTCATTGGCAAGTACAAATATTGAATGCAACGTTATTTGTAATTGTTGCATCCATTTCCAGGATAATTATGATATAGCTTTCGTCAACCAAGTGTATCAGTCGACAGTGGTTAGTTATTCAGAATTGAAGAGTGGAAATATAGTTGCTCCTGGTCCAGTACGGATACCATACTACACTCGTCAATCGTTTAAAAATACTACCAAATTGCTTGGTCTAATGGACGATTTCAGAGTAATGTATCTTTTTCATTAATATTCTTGTAATTTATCTTAAACTGTAGTATCCTAAAGTTCCATAATACGGTGTTACAGAGCGGTGTGCCGAGATCAGGATATCGCGGAGTCGTGACATTTTTCTATAATAGGAGACGCGTGCATTTAGCACCGAGTGCAAACTGGAGCGGTTATGATATAACATGGAGCTAACACATGATCATGCTCTACAAAGACTTATAGATTGCACGATATTACGTGTATTTCTTCTTTGGTATTCAACAGACTATGTGAATACTAAAACAATTGCAAGCTGACAGTGAAATCTGTATTTATGTCTACAGTGTACGGCTATGCTCCGTAGAATTAAGTAGAAGCCGGTATTACATTCCTCATGTAAACGGTTTTGAACGTGATCTTTTCTTGCAGAAACACGTCAGATATATTTCAATAAGTTTACATGTACGTGATTTATGTTTAAATGAATATTACATGTATATATTCATTTACATACATCATGTATTGTATATCTGCGTTTCTAAAAATTACATTCGTCGTTTTTTAGTATATAAACTTAAATGATTGCTGAAATTGATCGTATCTCATGTACATAAAATGCCGTAGTAATATTGATAAAGCAATACTCTTGATTAATTATCATGTATCTTCCAAAACGCGAATGTGTTGATATATTTTTGCTCATATGCTGCTTTTGAGAATTAATTTTGTTATGAAGTCATGTGACAAATGAAGTATATAATTTTATCGAAAAACCTAATCAAACTCTGCATCTGCATTATTTATCCTACATGAGCTATATATTTCTTAACTCTTTGCCAAAGATCTATCTTAATCTAAATTGATTTTTTAACTTATTTTTACACTGTTTATAAATAAAATATTTTCCAGAGTTTAATAATATATTAATGCTTGTATTTTAATATATAGATAATTATATGGATTTTGACATTAAACGTTATGTACACAATTAAGGTGGATAAACAATGAGTATATTTTGTATGTTTCGTATTTATATTTGTACAAGGTATAACAACAAGCAAATTATCACTTATCTTGTCGTTAATATGTTTATATTCACAGAACATGTACAATTCTGTTTTCATATGAGGAACGTTTCTACGTTGTAGGTGCGTTCAGTGCGCGCACTGAAAATTACACACGCTCGTTTCCCTATAATTGTCTAGTTACCTGACGCGTCCCGAATCTCGAAAACATATAATCTTTGCAGCACAATCAAAGTACTATAACAACGTTCGTTGAGAGATTTAGGATTTATACCACAAGCGATTGCTATATTTCGATTTCTCACGTGGTATGTCGGCTGACAGTCCAGGAGTTGGATCTGGAAACACCGTAGGCTCCTCTTTCGGCGGCCGCGGCCTCGATGTGTTATGCACTTTAGCCTCGCAAAAGTATCCGAAGGGCGGACGTTCTATGTTCAAATTCTTACGAACACATTCGTCCAAGGCAGCTTGCGTCAGTCGACATCTAAGTGACAGTCATATTAAATGATCATTGTTGTAATTAATACAAAGTATCAGAAGAGGAATTAACACGGTGGGATATAAAGTAATATATAAACGTACGGCTCTAATTCCAATTTTCCCGTTGACCTCTCAAGGCAGGACATATAAGCGTTAAAATCTTCTAGGCAGTGTTTCTTCATATTTTTAAGAACATTCATTGCGCAAGCGGTCACGGCTTTTCCCTCATCGATACAGCGACGTGGGTCACGCTCTTCTTGTCTGCACAACATAAAGTCCTGCAGAAGAAATAAATCTCTTGTAATTCGAAAGCGACCATTTATCTTGAACATCTTCAAGCGTTATCAGATTATAAAAACGACTCTTATATTTAGAAGCTCTTTAACAAGATATAACTTCTTTTCGGGCTATGCGAACAATTTAAACCCAACAACAACTGAATTAAAAACTTACTAATTTATCTTACAGGGTGTTTTAAATTACATACTGTCTCAGATGAGAATTTTTCAAGTTATTTAATATCAATTATTAATATTAACAATTAATAGATATTATAGTTATTAAATAAAGATATATTATTAGCAATTTATTTTTATTATTATTATTTATATAAGGCGGGCATACACGTTAAACGTTATTTATTACAGAGATTCCGAGCATTATGTAACCCCTTGGAGGGGGACGACTCGACGCGCAATGAACACAGTAGGGACCAGGGGGATTGTTCGGCTGTCACGCAGACTTCTAACTCACATTGTTGTACCATTCACAGGCCTTGCCGATATAAACGGACGCGGTTTGCAACACCGGCCAGCTGACGTTCAGCTCTTGAACGGTTAGCTCGCTCTCCTCCGGCAGTACCGTCTTCGCTGTCGCGGCCATGTTTCCTTTATAGCAGCACTTCGTCGGGACGACCTGTCATTTACGATCGGGGCCGTTGATCATGAGAGACGTCTCGGCGCGAAACTTCCCCGGTAACTTTAATACAAAATCGCACAGCGCATTATGCACACGCGATCGTGTAACGTGACGGTAACCTAACCTCAATGACGACTTCGTTATCGGATTGATATTCAATAGCGAACCTATCTCGACATTCGATTCACGATTTCGATTGTTGCGACTTCTCAAGTCGATGGTAAAAAGGTTGATGGCAGAGACCCGCGGAGCTCAATTCTTGAATTCATTCGCAAGAAAAGAACGAGACGTAAGCGCTTACATCTGTTGTGGATGTAAACAAGGTCGGTAAAGTAAGAGCCTGAGCAGAATGGTCGACTTATAATTTTAGATCAACGTTTTATGCTTTAAATTTTCGTTTTTAGTAGCGTACAATCTGTCTCAAAGTGTTACAAATGTTGACATTTCGTTAATATACACGTTCAAAACTTATTGAAACACAAGACATTATAATTGTGCGTTACTAAAAACAAAGACTTTAAAGTATAAAACTTTAAAGTATAAGACTTTAAAGTATAAAACAATGTCTTAAAATTATAAGTCAGCCATTATTCTGCTCAGGTCCTAAGGCAAAGAAAAACGTAAGTCCGTAACAGGCTATGTATATTATATAATTATTATATATATAGTCTTTTTACGTCTTACATTTCTCTCTGCTTTACTTTACGTCCACAGTTACGACAGCAGACGTCTCGTTCTCTGTCATCAGCCGAAGAAAAAGACACCGCGTATAAAATATGAAGATATAAAATGTCGCCTACTAGGAGGAATTATATTACTAAAGAATTTTGAATGTTATAATTTTGCTCAAATTACAAAAAATATGTAATAACATCTAAGCTCTTTTTACTCATTTTTTGTTCCAGATTTCCTTGTAGTCGCAGATGATCATCATAATCAATCCGAATCTTGAAACAAAAGAAAAATGGAAATATACGAACGCGAAAATATGGAATAATTGCCCCAGACAGCACCGTATATCCAAAATCAGGACATAAGATGTCTTGAAGACATTTTTTAGACGTCTTACGAAATGATGCCATATCGTAGCACATTATAGTGTCTGTAAAATCAGTCCTCATCCCCTATATTTCGGAAATAGTTTAAAATTATGAAAAATCACGAAATACGTGTTTGATTATTTCGAAGGGCTATTTATTTAAAAGGTTGTCCCACCCAAGGAAATGCCCCAAAGAAACCCCAACTTTCAAATAAAAACCCCCATATTGTAGCATATCGTTTGAAAGGGCATAAAAAAAGAAAATTTTTGGCGTAAACCAGAGATCGTTGATCAATTCAGGAGTTATTTAAGATAAAAAATAGATATTTTCGAACTTTGATCTTAAATAACTTTTGAACGGATCATCGTATCGACCTCTGGTTTGGGCCAAAAATTTTCTTTTTTTTATGCCCTTTCAAACGATATGCTACAATATGAGGGGTTTTATTTGAAAGTTGGGGTTTCTCTGGGGCATTCCCTTTGGGTGGGACAACTCCCGCATCTTTTAATTAAATAAATAGCCCTTCAAACAATCAAACACGTATTTCGCAATTTTTCATAATTTTAAACTATTTCCGAAATATAGGGGATGAGGACTGACTTTACAAACACTATATATTGTGCTACGATGGCATCATTATGTCTTAAAAGATGTCTTCAAGACATCTTATGTCCTGATTTTGGACATACGGTGCTGTCTGGGACAATTATTTCATATTTTGCCTTTTTAAATAATATGCTATAATATGGACGACTTCATTTGAAATTTTTTAGTGTCTCAGGGAAACGGGAACGTAACTCCTCCTCCCTTGGAGGGATGTAACTCCTCCAATTTTCTTAAATGAGCTTCTCAAAATGATCGAACACATATTTCGCGATTTTTCATAATTTTGAACTATTTCCGAAATATATAGGGGATGAAGACTGACTTTATAGACACCCTGTATGTCAAAATACCCATAACATCAATAAGATAAAATTTCTTTATTTAACTTATCAAAATATATTTAAATCAGTTCTACGACCGCATTTTGATGTCATATTTTTGCTCTTTTTTCAAATTTCGTTTCTTTCAATTTCACAGATTTTTCACTATTTTTCTCGATTATAAAAAAAAAACCTAGACGTGATAGAACGAAACGGTTTACGAATTCGGATTCAGTGACCCAAAATCTATAAGAAATACCTAATAATTCATGGTTGCCTAGTCTCAGTTAATTTTTAAATAAATTTTTGTTGTAGTCCTGTGTAATCGTTAAAAACCGATTCAAATCTTGAAACAAAATAATTCCATCACGAGAGAAACGAATAAACGAATTGATGCGAATGCATTTTACGATCCAGTCAAATAATGCGCTTATATATTTTATGTTTTTTTCTTTATAGATGAGGCATTATTGATATGAATATATGTATATGTGACATTAACATCAATTGCGACTCTGCTCGTTTGCATTATGTTATTATTATCAGTCATGCTGTCCCATCGTGTAATCACAATAATATTTATATTACATCATCTGTAATCTCAACACTTAATAATACACTTTAACATTACATATATAACACCGCATCGTAACGTTGCAACATGTATTGTACATTCACGTATACACTCACAAATCTCGCTCTTAAAGATCTCGTTTGATAATTATAATTGACTATGTTGCCATACCCGCGAGTATGTTTTCAAGCGTCGACGAAAGGACAAAGCTTTTTATCATCTTCATCGTAGCACATTAAAAAGTCTACCGTTTCGCTGCCCTATTCTAACAAGATGTATTTTACAAGCGCATTTTCTCGTTCAGTTATCTCGCTCAAACACGATGATCTTATGAAATACGTTTAAGTCGCTGTCTTATTGATAAAAGCAAAGGATATCATAAATTATCTTTGAATCTTTATTTGTTACAATTAATCTTATCGACTGCATTCTATTTTGTTGCATTTGTTGCATCACTTTTGCTGGCTGCAAAATTCTATATACATAAAATACTCATGTGGAATTGTACTTACAGCGTGTTGCTGTTCATTCGTGCAATAGATCCTTTTATTCTTCGTACATTTAGTATTACCCTGTAACATTACACCGCATTCAACTTCGACTAGATATATTTCGTGCAAAACAAGTAAGGATGATTTTATGAAGTATCAAGATCTTATGTAATAAAGATCGTGATATCGAAATCAACGGGTGATATCGCAATCAACGGTATAAAAACGGACCGAGCGAGCGAGCGCGAACAAGCACGAACAATTAAACGACTTACCTTAATTTCGCCGGTACAGCGGCACCGTTCGCCTTCATTGATTTATTCATTCGCGCTTGCTCGTTCGGCTTGGATCCGTTAAAAAAAAAGAGATCGATTACGATATCCGTTCGAAATACCACGCTTGTCGCGCTTAATCTCGTCTTTTTCGGCGATCGCGACAGAAATCGTATTATTGTGACGATGCACCATTCACGCATCACACGACGCACACGACGCGCGATAAATGAACACATTGACCAAGCTTAATTTGTACCCTAGACATCCATTCGACAATAATCTTATATGCGCACATTGTTCGCATAATCTGCTATAGCTGTGCGAAAACAAGTGTCGCAAACGATCTGTGATCGATCTATATGATATGTAAGTTCGTGTAACTCGCATACGTGTGACAAAATTAAGCTGACTGGGATAAGAACAATAGCGCTGTCTTATTTTCTTTCTGTTTTAACAATAACGAACAAGGTTGCATTTTTGTGACTATTGATATACGAATTAATAATATCAATCTTTCCTGCATGCGTCTCTGGACTAGTATACTGTTTCATGTGAATAAAACGTCACTTAAAAGTAAACGTTGACGTAACATTTTCCAAGCAAATCGATCTCGAAGTTTAAAGTGTTCGGAAAAATTTAGAAAACTTAATTATAAATACCCAGACAGAGCACCATGTTCAAAATCGGGACAAGACATTTTTTAGACATATCATAAGACGTCTTAAAGATGTCTTAAGGATGTCTTAAAAATGTCTTATAAGTCTCGTGTCCCAATTTTAGACATGCTGTCTGGATATTTATTTCAAATTTAGAGAACTTTATTGTAAATATAGGTAGCCTAAAAAAAAGCGCGCTCCAAAAAAATAGACGCGAAACGCATCGTGTTTATTGTGTTACTCAGCGATTAATATATCGATCGTCGTCAGAGCGATGCAGGACAGTCGGACAGTGAGCTGCAAGCGTCAGATATGTGCTTGTTTGTGATGCGCCATCGACGTCGCCTTCCGATTGCCGTCGTCGTTGGAGCGACATTTCAGAACTCCGAATGAGGTCGTCGGGACAGCCAGTCGGCGATTGCTGAAATTTCGTGCACTCGATTCTTCAGGCCGCGTAACGCCGGGTAATTCTCCAAGGCGGTCGCACCGAAAATGTTCTCAAAGTTCTCTAACGCCACCGTGAACACGAAGTCCGCCCACGTGGTCTGCAAAGCAACGAGCAACTTATCATCGAGACGGAAAATTTTAATTTATCGCGATTCTAAAAGGAGCTGCCTTACTTGAAAGATACGCGACACTCGACATCTGAGCGTTCAAGCTCCTATATATGTCGTTCTATTCGACTTCAACGACGAGAGAACATCGAACAAATAAAAATACACGGCAAATAATATTCTATTTTCACTCATTTTATATTTCTCTACTCTCTAAATCTCATAGAGAGGTTTTACTACTAATATATTAGATTGCGATAGTTACTTCAAAAGAGAGAGTTGTCACTATTTGAGTAAATGTGGGCACTCATAAGGTAGGAGTAAATTTTTCACTCAAATCTTTAGAGCGGCTACTCTATCGGAGTGATACGACCTCTAAAGCTATAGTGAATCATATGGTTCACTAAGCTCGACTGACAAATCGCTCTAACAGAGTGAAAATTTTCAAAATTGTAAAGTGAATTGGAAAGACATAATTCACTCCTATGAACACTGATCTACTGCACTCGAAAAGAGTGCCCTTTCACTCAAATGGAGTGCGATTTCATTCCAATTTATTGAACGTAATTTTACTCTTAGAGTGGTGAATCACTCGAAGTGCACAGGCTCAATTTTCACTTTTCGTTACACTTGCATTTCACTCATTTCGAGTGATATTTCACTCTTTGACTTTTAGAGAGTAATTAAACAGACTCGTGTGAAGATCGTTACTGAGGCATTCTCTTTACCGTGGAACCGACCGCGTAACCACCGTTCTCGGCAACAGTCTGCTCGAACTTATTCAGGTAGAACGGTATTGTTTCCTTCAGGAGCTTCGCCTTCTTCTCCTCTTTCTTAAAATGATCTTCCTCCGTGCGATATTGAAAGATAACTGAAAGGCAAATTGTGCGCATGCTTTAGTGGCTCATCCCTATCGTGTAAGCTTACGTCAAAGTGACACATCGCGACATTAAAAGTGTTCGTCGTCGTACGCCCCGTGAATATCCGAATATTATCAAATGCTGTTTGTGACCGAATATATCAGGTTTCCCAAATCTCCGATACCGCGAACAATCCCGCAATCTAGAATGTCTCGTTATAGCGTCTAATATTGGAGTCGCGCGTATTATTACTCGCGGGGATTACACGCTGGCGGCGATCCAATTGCGCGCAACGCACCACCGTCACGTCAGATTTCGCGAGGAACGCTTTTCCGGGACTATAGCCGTCCGCTCGATTATGTTACGACCTCGGGAAGAGCCTGGAAATATAGGTCGCGCGAGATCGCGCGTGTCTTTCAGAGGAGCGAAAGCGGAACTACTTTCGCACCCATCACGGAGTTTTCCCGGAGATTTATGTTTAGCCTCGGTCGCGCCCGCGTCGCGCACTTTTCTCTCTATCTCGGGCAGCATCTTCGCTGAACCGTCTCATTTTCGATAGTACGATCTTCTACGTCTCTTTTCGAACTCGAGTTGCTCGAACATCATCGATCGCGGTTATCGACTGACGCTCGTGCGAACTTACTAAAAGTCCTTTGACGGGATTTGATTAAATTGCACGGCGACATCGAACGACATTCGAAAACTTTTGTCGCTGGGTGGTGGCAATCCTTCGGTATAACGGGAAATCGCGACCTGAAGGCGGATTCGCGGCCGAAAAGGAATATCGATTAGAGATGGAGAGGGTGGAGAGGGGCTGACGGCCCTAAGCGGCTTTCCGGAACCGTTATGGATTGCACCGGGCATATGTATCACTTACATTGTTTCAGGTCTCCCAAGGTATCGACCAGCACGTCGCACAGCATCGATTCCCATTCGTCCTTGCCCGCGAGATTATGCTCGCGGGCCAGGTAACGCGCCACGGCGTTGCTCTGCGCTATCGGCTTGCCGTCTATCTCCAGAACTGGCAGCATCCCGTAAGGCATCGCTGGGAACAAGAGAAAGCAATCGGCGGGTCGTGCTTAAGCGCGAGCTTAAGTGGCAGCGAAGGACTCGGAGCAATTTGTCTTCGCTCGAGTTAAAAATTAAAAATGTTGCTGCGTACGCAATATACCTCCGATTAATTTTAGGTTGTTACGTTGCACAATTATTTCGTGCTTTTAGTCGAGTATATTTGTTTTGTTATACTTGGAATATTTTATGTTAAATGTGAATTTAATTTTCAATTACAATTAAATTAGAATAAAATCTCCTGCGTTTTAACTAGGATTTGCGTTGCATTATTTTACATGTTGCGCTAACAAGTTATTTTATAACTCTATTTCTGGCACTTACACTTTTTAACCTCAGGCCAGCGGTCGTTGGAGATCCTCTCGTCGATATAATCGATGCCCGCATAGGCGAATATGTAGCGAATATGCTCGGCACGACCTCGTGCATTAAAGTAGATCAATTTGTACCTCGGCTGTTCCACAGCCATCTCTCTTACTTGCGATCTGAAAACTTCCGAAGGTGTCAGAAAAGTTACGACTTCAATTTCAAGCTAATTATCGCCGTTAAATTACTTTTAAGTCTTTTAACGCAGCAAGTAGTAATGGCTTCGATATGGTCAGACAGGGCTAACGTAACGAAATTCGTACAATAGAACAAGACGAGACATTTCGCTCAGCCAGCATTAATAAAAAGTATCGTAATTTCAGGGAATTTCAATTGTAATCATTCCTCGATATTGTTTCGTACTATCAGAGTCCCGCTCAAACAACCCCTTTTTTAATTTCGGCCGAAACCGAAACCAAAATCGAAACTTTTATAGGAATTCTAAGAAAGCCTACGCGTGCACATATATACTATACTTTTTCTTTATAAATATCATAATTCAATTATTAAAATAATAATTAGATACATTATCATACAATCCTATTATATTACAATTCTATTATTCCAATCTGTATAGCTGTATATTATATAATACTATCCATAACAGTATCACAATCATATTATTTCAATAATAATAAAATTTCTACACATAAAATAAAAATATTTTTTAAACAAGTTTGTGGAAAATCTGTGGAAAATACAGTGTTTCGGCTACATCGCCGAAACTGCCTTTCAATTTCGGCCAACACCGAAATCCAGGCACTCCGATTTGTAGCCGAAACTGGCCGAAACCGTAACTGAAATCAAATTTTCGGTCGGACTCTATCATACTATATTTAAAACTTTCATCTAAGCATTTGAAGTCTCGTAATTTCCCACAAAAACCCACAATAAAGATATAAATAATTCCTTGAAAGGCATGACAGTGTATTTTGTGTGCTCGCAGTATTGCACGCCTGATACCGCTGATTTTCGTTTCAACCTTTATCGCGCCCAAACGCTCTATCTTTGTGGGCGATCTACGTGGTAATTCACAGTATTGCCTATAGATCCCGGCCGTTTCCGTGAGGATACTATATATGATCTATCTGGAGTATCTTCACCGCGGGCGGTCGACTTGTTTCGGGGAATAAACGATAGGGTTGCGTGATTACGTGCGTGTGAACGGCGGGGTTTTATCAAATTTCGGGGATCGAGGGCTCGCCCGCCGGATTAGATAAGCCGCGGCAGAACTGGCAAACGCGAGCGTACTTCCTGTGAGTTTCCTCGGTGAAATCGCGGGATTTCGTGCGTCACGCGTATATGCATGTATACGTGTTTACATATGCCAATATGTGTGCACATCGGAGCATATTATGCGCGCGCGCGCGCCCTATCTATAAACGTTATTGACCTATCCTATGCGTATACATATGCACATTTATATTTTGCATGTCAACCACTTAATTGGCGTCCTCGTTACCACCTCCAAAGTTCGACGCACGGTCGATCTCGTTATTACCTACGTCGCGATAACCGCCGTATCATCGCCGTAATTATCGGTTCCGGTCCGCGAGTCCAAGTCCGGGCGGAATTACGTAATTTAACGGACGCGACACGATCCTAAGGTAACGCTACATAATTCATGTTACGCGTAAGTCGCCCTCGCGACTCAAGTGCTTAGTAAGTCGGCGATTTAGCGTGTTAACGAACTCGAAATGAGAAAACTTCGCAAGAATTTGCCGGTCACGCGCAGCGGTGGCGTATAATATACCTCTCCGCGCATGTATCTCCGCGGAGAGAGAGCTCTCCGCGGCGATAATTATTTGATAATTCGACTTTAATTATATCCATTTTTTTCTATCTCTCGCAGCGGAGAATTATTCCCTCTGATGAAATTGATTTCCGAACTGTTTGAGTGGAGAACCGCAAATAAGCGTTCTTGGGCGAAGTTCAAACTAGCCATCATCGTTATCGTGTAAAAGAACAAAATAATATTATTCAGCAAAGAGCGCGGGTATTCAATTAAAGTTGTTCCTTTCGACGGTGTGTTCTCTTACGGTTCGGAAATTGCCTCTAATCCGATTACTTCCGATCGCAGGAAAGGTCATTTTCATTCGAGAGGCAAAGCTTTCATTTCTCACGCGTGCAAATGTGCAAACGTGTAAGAAACGGCCTGTAGGAAATTACACGATACTCGCAATTAAACATCAAGGGCCACTAAATAAGAAACGCTAAATGTAGATCGCGAAGGAGGGCTTTGAGGAGAAAACTCCGTTTCCCGGGATTCGACCATTTAATTCTGTTTCTTTCTATACCTTTTCCCCGAAATAAACGGGCGTGACCCAATTTCGTGTCTCTCGACAATAACAACCCCCCGTGAGAGGGGAGTTTTTAAAGAATGGATCCATCTAATTAACGAGTAACACGGGCAACATAATTTACAGTTCCACGGAACTGGGGGATTTGTGCGTACAAACGATGCGTTTATTGATTATTGCTTGGATGGAATGCTCCATGCCCGACGGTTTCCACCCACCGATCGAGAGAAACACGTGACGAGCGACGTTGTTGCGCGAGGTGTGCAACGTGTCCATTGCAGAGAGCGGATACAATCTACCGCATTAATTCAATGGATGCAGGCGCGTTTGAACGTGCGCGAATCGAGTGGATGTAATCTCTCAGGGCGATTGAATCCTGCATTTATACCATTCGACTCCGTTCTCAATTAATATTTGCTCTTATTTTTTTTCTTTTCGCTTTCCGGAATTAGAATGAAGAATATTCAACTAGTTTCTGTTCTCCTGCCGAAGAAGGACATAATAAGAATCCCAGACAGCACGCATGTCCAAAACCGGGACGTAAGACGTCTTAAAGACATTTTTAAGACGTCTTTAAGATTTTGGATATGGTGTTGTCTGGGATGTCTGCGATAAAAATATTACTTTAGCAGCTGTTTCTCGTTATACAAGTGATGATGAGAAAGGACTCGCTTTCACTCTCCAAACCGCGGGCGTAAACTCCATCGAGATCCGACGATTTTCCCAACGACGCCTGTCCTGATTTGGCGTCTGAGATAGCCAGCGATTTAGCGCCGTAACATGTGCGAACAGACAGTTCGAGTCGAATGTCGGCGTAGGTCGCGCCGATAGCCGAACCCCGCTAACCATATTTGACGTAAAATCAATGGCCCGTATCTGCGAAAACATTAATTCGGCGCGTGGGCGGACAACTGGAATGGTATAAGGTATCGTACAAAGGCTGAAGGAGTATTAATGTTGACGTTGTGCCGACCCCCCGGCGGGATCGTCGCGTCGCCCCGCTTTTTCCGCGCGGGGGTTCGGGGTTCGGGGGTTCGTGCGCGGCGAAAGTTCGCCCCGGCGCGACGCGAATTCATTAGTCATGCCGGACCATTTCGACGCGGACGTTCGAGTTTCGGGTGAAAGCGAGATTATATGAAAAGCTCTCCGTGAAATTATCTCGACAGGAATATCGACCTGATACGGTGCCCTCCATCCTTCCCTTGGGCCGGCTTTATCTGGAAGACAGTCATTTAACGATCATATTCGCCAGAAAATCCGGCGAAAGAAAAATATGTCTACCTCAGAGTTTTCGCACCACCACACGACGTTCGAGATACACAACGTGATCTATATGTATATTGACACTCTCGCGAATCGAAACCTACTCGCGGTATTTTTCACCGTGTCATCTCGCCCGCGGCCTTGTAATCCTTTCAGTTTATTAAAAAGCGCGATATAATCATATAACAGTCGGTAAACGTGCGTCGGCTAAGACCGGATTGTTTGTATTCCGCGATCGCGTAATTTGTTCTTCTTCGGGCACGTATTATGGAACTTTTCGGAATGGATTCCGAGATCGGAATTACTCCGTTTTCCCTAGAAAACACAATAGAAATCTAGGAAATAATTAAACAATTCCGATTGGAATCCATTCCGTAAAAGTTCCATAATAAACGTGCCCTGATGACTCCTCGAGTATTTAGAGGTCGCGTCGTCTCTCCGCTTTCTCTCAGCTCCCGAGCGGAATGTTATTAATCTTCTTCTTGAAGTCACGCAATCTTTTCCCCCAAGAGAAAATAAATTTAAAGTTCGTTGAAGGATTTGTCATTAAATCAGTCGGAGTCGCTGGAACGCCTTTGTGCTCGTTGAACACACGTAGTTTCAGATTACTCCGGTATCGCGCAATATTAGTATCGTCGATAGCAATGAAAGTCCTCTCGCTGTCTACAATTCGCAATTTTCTCGGAGATACGGAAAGAATCATGTAAGTAGTAAAAAGTAACATTTCTTTTCCCAGATCCTCCGGTAATAATACTCGCGAAATACCTACATTTGTTCCCATTTTCGACGATCGTGATATATGTATCTGCGATATTCTCCCAAGACACAAAACGACGTTCGTATATTGCAATTCCTGCAGAAGTACTACTTTTGCGAGATACTTTGATACTCGGTCCTCTCAAGGAAGCACAATCTCCTCAATACGAAATTGTTAATCCATTGGCGAGACGCCAAATTCGATATCAGAAATATGACAAGGAGATAAAGCGAGAGAAAGTATATTCCGTGATACTCCTTTTCCACATTTATCACCTTGGCTACACAGCGAGCTTTTTATTATTCTCCAGATTGAAGTTTAAATTTCGAATATTTGAAACCAAAATTAACGCGTAAAAGAAAACTCTGTTGTTGCACGAGGATCGAACGTTTAACGTCAGGAAAAGATGGATTGAACGAAATAAGAGAAACTGCTCGACCGTATATGCACGTACATGCGAGAGGATTGTGAATAAACAATGAGATATGAATATGTATCGCGGGATTTTAGTTCTATCTGAAAATTTTATATTCCGTGCACGAAGGGACGCGAGAGCGGTGCGTGATAAATTTATATTAATCCATAAAGTTATTTAAATTAATTAGAATTAGAAACTATATAGATATAATTATGAATGTAATAAACTTATAGTTAAGAAAGATAACTATTATTTAACAATGTAAAAGTTAAATATTTACTTGCTAATATAAATGACATTTTGACATCTTCTACTCGCGTTAAACATTATATATTACGCGCCAAGCGAAGCATATGAAAATAAACTCACTAACAAATAACGAACTGCAATGTGACGAATTGTTTATATTATCGTGGTTTTCTTTTGGATTTTAGGTGCGGTGAGGTATAAATAGGCGCCGCGCGAGAATTACGTTGAATCACTCGGTCGTCGCGTTGAACGAATTTCAAACTCACTCCGGCGCTCTCGTACGATCCCGCTACCACCCCGAGTATAAGGTGCACTCGTGCGCCGAACACGGGACCGCGACTGAGCCGTCGTACCGGAATCCTGCGCGGCAGAGGACCACCGGTTTCCTTCGGCACCACTTGCGCTCTGCTTCGTGCTTGGGCACTACTGCGAGTTTCAGGTTCCGACGAGCACGATGCGCAACCTCAGAAAATTTATACCACCCGCCAGATTCTCCACCCCCTTTGCGAGCTGCACAGGCCGGGGGTGGCCTGGAAACTCCGGCCATCCTTGGACTCCTCGACTGGATGATTTTTACGGTGGAAATCTCGCTCGTGGAAATTGTTCGCGCAGAAAAAGGCGTCGGTGGAATCAAAATCGATGCGTTTGACGACTCTTGTCGGATCGCAGGTAAATGCTTCCGAGGTGGTCGCGCGATAACGGATCCCTGCTTCTACTTTTAGTGAAATTTTTAGCTTTATAGTCAGACGTGCTGGCCAGAATTGCGGCATAATGTAGCAGGAATAGTGCCAAAGGATTCGCAAATTGGGTTCGCCAGACAGAGATATGATGTTACCTTGAGCGCGCGCCGAAGAAAGTGAAGACGTAGAAATAAATTACGCGCTAGCGTATCTCCATATCTTATATAACGTTTACATTGAATAATAAAATGTTGTATGACTTTAACGTCAATATTGTGAAATATCATTAATTGCTCCGCGCGGTTGATTTGTAAAGTAATCTTTTTTCGCAGCGAATTTTCATATAATCTCAGACGCGCGCGCCAACACACACACGCGCGCGCGCACGCACACACATGCACACACATGTAAATAGTCACGTGAACAGGCGACTGTACATACGTCAAATGTTATGTCGTGCTTGGGTCAGTTAATTGGTCAGACCAAGCTAGTTAGTTTCATTACGTTATCTCCATCTTCGTGAGTTTCACACAATAGACGCCTCTTCCAATATCGGGGTCACTAGGTTTGCTCGCGTAGCTTAAATCCTCTTTATCGTAATGTTTACTGTTATCACAGTCAAGACAAAAAAAAGATTCCAATGTCGAGAAATTGAGGAAATTTTTCAGCAGATTTTCGAGCAAATTACGAATGACACACATTCAAACCGCGGCGCACAAAAATATTACATCTTTACGACAAAGCGATAAGGTAAAATATCTAAGATTCTCATAAGTTAATCAAATGCTTTGAAAATTTGGAAAATCATTTAGATATATCGCACAAAAATATTGTCAAAACTTAAAAAATTTCAATTTTAAGTTAAATCGATAAAAAGTGTGCCTAAGGTGTTCCCTACATGTTATAATATATACTCTCCAAAAGTCAAAGAGTGAAATATTACTCAAAACGAGCAAGTGTAACGAGTAACGAAAAGTGAAAGTTGAGCCTGTGCACTTCGAGTGATTCGCCATTCTAAGGCCGGTATTTATAGTCGATTCTTATTTTATGATCGTCTTAAGTAATGTCTTAAGATGATAATTCGGCTCTGTGATTTGGTTTATGACATCTTAAGATTGTATTTAAGACGGTCTTAAATATAAGATCTGATTATATGAATACTGACCTAAGAAAGAGTATAAAATTGCGCTCCATTTGAGTGAAAGAGCACTTTTTTCGAGTGGCAGTAGATTAGTGTCTATAGAAGTGAATTATGTCACTCTCAGTTTTGAGAGGAAAATTTCACTCTGTTAGAGTCATTTATCAGTCGATCTTTAATGAATCATGATTCACTATAGCTTTAGAGTGAGATCATATCATTCCGGTAAAGTAGCCGCTCTAAAAGAAAAATTCATTCCTACCTCATGAGTTCCCGCATTTACTCAAATTAGAGTAATAACATTCTCTTTTGGAGTAACTATAGCAATCACTCTAATATATTAGCGGCGAAACTACTCTAGATTTAGAGAGTATAATATAATCACACAAGTCTATGCGAAATCTGCTGCACGAGGCAGAAGCATCGTTATTCTTTTTAAACCGGTTATATTGCAGTTTCTGGATGAATAGTGTTATAAGTAAATTGACAAGTAATTTACAGCGGATCTTTTTAAAAACAGTATAAGTTTTATTATAACAAAATATCGTAATTGTAATTACGTTAGATATCTCGTAATTTTTAAAAATTGAACTAAATCTGTGTTTTCTCTCTCCTGAAAATTGTGTATTTTTTATTTGTCACAGTATTCTTCTCGGGATGCAATATGTTATCGCATACATAGAGATTTACCTCTTGCATTTTTTGTAAAATAAAAGCAATTTTGCGATTTTACTTTGTGATAAAATCTGAAAAAAAATCCGTTTTCACTTTGTTGAAGTCTCTTTCTAATTTAAATATCCAAAGAAAATCCGAGGATCGTTAATTTGGGAAAATATCAGAGGCAGAGGAAAAATTAAAGGGGAAAGTCAGATAGAACCGACGTAGAATTGGTGCGTTACTTCTCTCGCGGCGGATTACGTAAATCCGACGTTTCTACAGAAGAATAACTGGGGGCATCGTTAATGGGTCGCGGTAAAGTGGCAAAGAATTGCCGGCCGTGAGTGCCGCGCGTGCCCTGATGAATTCCGGCAGGGCCTCTAAAACGCGTTCCACCCAGCTCGCTCGCGAGTATTTTGTTATCGTGGCGAACGCGAATTAAATGACAGTTTAGTGCAAGGCTAGCCGGTGATGAGCGAAGCTGACAACAGTGGGGCTCTCGTCCGCACGTTCTCCACGGCCGAAGACGACGCTGTCTTGAAAGCACGGACGTATCTTGACGTAAGTGTATCGACGATCGATCAGCTGTCTGAAGAAAATCAGTGCGATTCTATTTTCTTCGCGTTCGCGCGACCGCGTATCCCGGTGAGACTTTTTCCTCCTGAAACGCAGATTTACGACGTGCGATAAGGAAGTAAGCGTGCTAGTGACTCGAGAAAATGTATATTTAGCACGCGGATGATGTATCGGGGAAAAGCTCCGTCTTTATTTTCACGATAAACCCCACGACGAATTTGGGGCTTATCATCCCTTAGCAATTAAGCCTCGAATATCATGCAAGATACAGTGAGATTTGCTTGAATTTAATTAAAACGGACAATAGTTCCCGTCATTCGGTCACATTTTAGAATCTTTGCCCGTTTATAAAGCGTAACGTTTTGCGCCAGGTATTATTCTCGAATGGATCTGACGCGCGCGGCTCGTTGAAAACGCGTGCAAATTGCAATTTCACGGGACATCCGTCACCGTGACAACCGAGCGGTATTTTTCTTGTTTTTTCCTCGCGCGGAACTGTTTCACATCTCGCACTCGCGACAATAACAAATTAAATTACTGTTTGTACAAATCATCAATATGGTATCTTCGAGATGTATAATTTATCGATTTTTTTGTCGTGTATTTTTAATTAAGGTATTTTTAATTAATTAAGAACGCAAAAAACCTTTGAAAATCAAAGGTTTCGTTTACTATCGATTGGAATGACAAATTAGATAGAAAAGACTAATTATTTCCTTCTAACTGAATTTTGACGTGGGCGCGCTTACTTGCACGCGCGTATGTGTGGCTTATAATTTTCCATTCCTCAATTCTCGTTGTTGTATTCTTAATCACTGCTTTATCAGGACGTGCTTAAGGCACAGGCTTAATTAAAATCTTTATGACTGCGCATTTTTGTCGACAATTCTTGCGTGTGATATGATGCATTTTTGTAATAAACGCGCGATAACATCCTAAGCGCCAGTCATAATTTCTTCCCGCCACTTAGCACTTGTGTATTTAAGCTCTTACATCTCGCTATTTATAGAAAATAAGGAAATGTACGATACAATAAAACCACTAATCACTTAATCCAAATAAAACGCGATATTAGTGGATGCTTACGCCACTTACATACTCTCTAAATCTCATAGATTGGTTTCGCTACTAATATATTAGAGTGATTGCGATAGTCACTCCAAAAGAGAGAGTCACTCTAATTTGAGTAAATACGGGTACTCATAAGGTAGGAGTGAATTTTTCACTCAAATTTTAAGATTAGAGCGGTTACTCTACCGGAGCTTTAGAGTGATACGATTTCACTCTAAAGCTATAATCACAATTTACTAAAGATCGACTGATAAGTGACTCTAACAGAATGAAATTTTCCACTCAAAATTAGTAGAGTGATATAATTTACTCCTACGAACACACCGATCTACTGCACTCGAAAAGAATGCCCTTTTACTCAAATGGAGTACGATTTCACTCCAACTAATAGAGTGCAATTTTACCCTTTCTTAAAGAGGCGAATCACTCGAAGTGCACAGGGTTAATTTTCACTTTTCGTTACACTTGCATTTCACTCGTTTTGAGTGATATTTCACTCTTCCACTTTTAGAGAGTAACATTTCGCATTTACATGCGCACAGTAATATTCATGTCCGTATAAATTGAAATGAGTTTTTTGAAAAACTTGGAAACTTTTTGACTAAACTATATGCATCATCGTTTCTTGTGACATTTACGTACAAATTGTCGAGATATCGAAGTTAATAAAATACTTTCGAAGCCTGACGTCATTACGTTCGTTGAACAAAACTTACGATCGTGGCGAAATAGAGTGAGATTAATTGCAATCGGCACGTAAAGTGCGACGAAGAGTATGAAGATCATAATCATTCTAGAAAATTCGCTAAACTACGTCGTTCCAATAACTAGAACAGTATTATAGTTAAAGAAGATTTTTTAATATATCCGGGAATTATTAAGATGCCGTTTGATACACGAGTGTTCGTTTAATTAAAACAGCATAATTTTGAAATTATAAACCATGATACGCTTCAGATGTGACTCGGAATTTTCTCGTGGAATAATTTTGGAAACCGGGTAGAGATTTTCCCTCCCCCTTTCCGCGTCTCAGCATCTTGCGTATTTCACCGGTCGATCGGGACGGGAAGTGGACGGAGGAGGGTGAAGGGTAAGTAGGATAAATTGAGAAGATTAATCGCAATCTCCACGTAGCTCGGGTTGCACCATTGTCCGACGAACGCTCGTGCCTCGTCCTCCCTCCTGAACTTCTGAAACTGGGTTGCATAACGGTTCGAAACGGCCGAGAGCTATACGTGTCACGCCAGCTAGTTAGCCTGGAATCGCAGCCTCGGCAGC